AAATGTAGAAATAACAATAATAGACAGGATATTTGGATAAAAAAATCTAGTGGGATCATGACTAATGTGACGAATAATTGTCTATGCATTCAGGGATTAAATATGCAGAAATAATAAAATAACATGAATAAACAGGAAGTTTGGATAAGAAAGGCAATGGGTTAGTCACTATTAGAAGAAGTGCCTGTTTATGATGGCCGTGGTAGGGACAAGGGTTGGACGTATTTCTTTTAAATACATAGCGTGGGTTTGAGCTTTTGGATGGCTAGTGCCTCGGCTATGCCCAGATGTCTTGATTTTACACACTTTGATTGGTGTGATTGAATCTTGTATATTAATCTGAAAGATTTTTCGAATTGCGCTGAATGTTCTGAATTGACCAAATGTTCTGTCACTGAACTATATACTTGTTTTTGTTCTCGTTTCACTAGCCGGGCTAGATAGTGTTCATGAGCGCGTTTTTCAAGTTGGCGCATGGTACGGCCAATGTACTCAGCCATTTCCGCAAGAGCAAGTAAATTGTTATATGCACGTCGAAGTGGCTCAATGCGACAGCTTGTCTTTTGTGTTCTGGCTGAACATCACCATAGAATAACTTTTTGTGACGAAATTCACAGTAATCCAGTATTATTCCTTTACTGATGACATTTCTAGCATAATTCATTCCTTATAATCATATTATGTACTCACATAAGCTCTTTCAAATTTTATTTATGCAGCTCTATTATTTTCTATCCTTTGATGTTATTGGTAATGATATGTCCCACTTCTCTGGTATTAATGCTGCCTCATTCCTGCTGTACATTTCAACCTGCCGCCATAAACGACTTGTTATGGCCCAGAGTGGTAGACTCCAGTCTTTCTTTCGAAATGCTGTCATACGGTCACGTGTTCGCAGCCTCCTTCTGCCACGCAAGTTATATTCATCCCCTTCACAAGACTGGGGTGTTACTCAGAAAAATGAAAGGTCGAATAAGAACGTCTGACCCTTGCTACCGGACTGCTGCGCATTCACATCAACCTAGAGACAGTGAAAATCTCCAATTCCAAACCAAATAGCTCATATGGATTCGAGAATCCAAAATGATCGAAATGCGTGTAGCGTTTTTCCGGTCACTGTCAACCATTGGAACACAACCCCTCATTCTGCTCTACCATTTTGTGGATCAAACTTCAAGCCAAAGGTTCGGTGACTGTCCCCTTAAGACAGGTATCTGCTTCGGTTTGAGCGTTCGGACAGTAAACTAGTCCTCGTACAAACTACTGGAATGTTCTGTGAAGCATCTCCTGGTGTCCATAATGTACCAAGCTTGTATTTTAATAACTATAATAATAACAATATGCAGTACATTCAAACCTACAAATTCACTGAGAGGAAGCTCTGTGTACTGAAGGACTATTCTGATCAAATTATATAAAATGGTTTAATCTACAAAATGCTCTGCAACAAATGTGAGTTCGACTAAATAGGTTGGACTAGTAGTTCAGGGCATTTTCAGGTTACTGGAACATAATAATAATTCAACTAGATGTGGAATGACTGACCCCAAGAAGATGACTAATTTAGAAACAAACTCAGCAACTAATTCCATATTAGTTTGTTTATTAGATATATCACATAGTGAAACAGTATTATTTACTGGATGACGTTTCGAACAAAATTTATTGTTCATAATCATATCAATTGTAATCACACGACTTTGACACTTGAGTTTTATAGTTTTCTTTGTTCTCTCCTATGTGTCGTCGTAGGGGTAGTAGAATTTTCCAGATATCGGGGACATGTGATGAATCATTCCTATTACATGTATTTGTAGTTGATTCGATAAACAATGCTGCTGTTATCAATCTCTCCCTCCACCATGTTACATTAGATTTTAAATCTGTCACCTTATCTCATCATCCTATTGTATGATTGTGTGTAGTTGCATATTGTGAGCACTTTAGCTGAACTATTCTCTAGATTTCTTATCTTATTCGGGTCAACTATTCCAGATTTTGGTGCTAGATTTTTATGTTCAGCTAGTCTGACTGCCCCTGTTCTACTAGTTTGACCTATGTATTTGACCTGACAATCATTCCAGCAGGGCATTAGATAAACTAAATTGTTTTGTTTTAAAGGCTCCACAGGATCCTTTAACCGACAAAGCTTGTTTCTAATTGAGTTTGTGGGTTTGAATGCCATTTTTATTCCTGCCTTTTTCAGAATTCTACGTAAGGTTTCCAAGGTTCTTTCTTTGAATGGAAGTACTGCTGATGATTTAGATTCCTTATTGTTGGTGTTGTCGTTATTTCGCGCATGTTTGACATGCAAGTCGTCATTAATATTATTATTATCACTATCACTACTATCATTATGCATTTTATTTTTATATTTACATTCCACTACATAATTCCTGACTAATTTATCAGGGTAATTATTAAGTTTCAAGGCTTCTCTTATATGCCTCACGTCCTCTCTTAGATTTTCCCTGGTACTATTTAGTTTTCTTCCTTATTACATAAACATTTCACCAATCCTATTTTCACTGACATAGGTTGGGATGATCGGAAGTCCAAATATCTATTTGAGTGTGTGGGTTTCCTGTAAACACTAGTGTTTAACTTCCCATCTTCTTCCCTTTTTACGCTACAATCTAACATTGGGAGCTCCCCTTCCTGATTTTCCAATTCATAAGTGAATTGAATTGCTTCAACCTTCGAGTTGATGTGTTCGAAAAATCTATCTTTATCTTGCGTTCTAAGTACAGTGAATGTGTCATCTACATACCTCCACCATACTTTTGGGGTGGGGGTGAACGTTTCAATCGCTATGCTTCCCCACTTATTCATGAATATATCTGCTACAACTGGCGATATTGGTGATCCCATGGCAACTCCTTCAGTTTGTTTGTATATTTTCCCTTGAAATTTAAGTACTATGGAAGTCAGGCATAGCTGCACTCCCAGCATTATGTCCTCAAGTGGCACTTTTGTCCTAAGTTCGAGTTCTTGGTCAGAAATGAGTTCGTTTCTGACTGCCTCCATAGCCATATTTATTGGTATACGTGTGTATAAACTGACAATGTCAAAACTAACCATTTTCTCTTCATTATCTAATTTTAAATTATCTAATCAGTGTTTTAGTTCATAAGAATTAGTTAGTCTAGATTTCGAGTGGATTTTTAGGGGATTTAATACCATGGCTAAATATTTAGATAATTCATAAGTAGGTGAGTTTCTCAAATCAACTATAGGCCTAATAGGGTATCCTGACTTATGAACTTTATAACAACACCATACATCCTACTGGGGTTATTAGTTTTGGGCATTAAATTAAATTAAATAAACTCAGCAACCGCTTTACATGCATTGAGGCACGGACACACTATAGAGTGGAACAGAGTTAGAGTTCTAGAAATTAAAATAGTTCAGAGGATGAAGAGGTAAGTGGCTAAATCCTTCGTCGCCAAATCTACGCCGAACATGTACAATGCAAATGACACAACACCAATACCAGAGATACAGAAAATATTAATGCTTATGCAGTCAAAGGATAAGAAAGTGTTCAGCTATATAAAGACGTTACATGAGTGCCTCGACAGAATTATGAGCAATAAATTGTGCTCATTAGCAAATGAATAATACTGTATCATTGTGTATTTTATCAAATGGAATTGATATTTGATAAAATTATGCTCTACCACAATGCCAAGATTCTATTCTTATATTTTAGTGGAGCCTAAAGTATGGTGAAGAACATGCAAAGAGTAGTTGTGATGAACTTTGATTTTAATGGTAATATTTCAATATAAAACTCATATAAAGAGTTCGCCGAAAGTGGATTCTATCAGAATCGATAATGATGCATTAACTTTCGTTTAATGCTTAGATCAAGTGACATCTTTTCCACAAGCAGATCCCTAGCAGTGGGACGAATCAAAGAAATCATGTTAAGTTTTCAATTCCATCTTGTGTGACTTACTGGTCATCTTAGAATCTCTACTGCTAAGCTATCCATTCTACAACAACTGACGGATAACTAATTCTGGAAATAAATTTACTAAACCTACAAATGGCTGGCAGTCACCCTATATATATAGCATTTTTACAGAAGATACCATTCATGGGCCGTTAGATTCTACCGCACTGACTGAATGGCCAATGGGCTTTCCTTTTAACCAGAATTTCCTGAGTTCGACCCCTAGTTGGGTGGTGGATGAGTACTGCAAACAAATACAAGACAATAGTCCAATACTCCCTGATTCTCTAAATGATATTGTAGCGGTAGGTAATTCCCCAGAATTATTGGCCATAGCGTTCACCGTTGAACATTGGATGCTGACCCTCACTGTTTAAATCATCTTGTTTAGCTGAATGCTTCCGGTCAGGTATCCACGTTATTTGGTACGCCATCTTGGCACGTTCGTTTGTTCGTTCATGATCCCTAGCTAGTTAAGCAATTATCTTGCACTCCGATTTGGTCCCGAAATATAACTCGTAATTTGGACGATCAATTCTGGTGTTTTACCTTGCCTTCGGTCTATGCAGAACAAAACTATAGAATTTGTGGGCATTAGATCTTGCGTTAGTATATTTCGTACTATGCGTGAACGTCAATACCTCTAGCCTCTAAAATATCATTCCATGACCAGACTTGTAGTCAATCAAATCTTCGCACACCGACATTTAAAAAACCCACGAAAGTGTGGAAAACAATGAAATAATGGAGATGATTTATATCCCACGTGACTGTTCTGGGATATTTTTTTGTTTTCTGAGCTGAACGGCTTTAATGCAAAGCTTTTATCCACTTTCTGAACAATGTCTTCACCTCTGATTTAAAATGAAAGCTGAAATGTTCACAAACTCCCAATCCTGAAGAACACAGCGAAACTAAAGAAGAGTATAAAGTACATTAACTGACTGACAATGTTTCTCCAGTGATGACCTTACTCGACTATTATCAAAGATAATCAATAACCACTTCAATTAAAAAAAAGTTGAACTAATAATCCAACTTATAATCTATTTTTCGTTAAAATGAAATCACCGGAAATTCTATGTCGATTTGGAAGCATTTTAAATTGTAAACTATTGAAAATTGAATCATTATAAGGTTTGTTTAAATGAGCCTTTTTATATACATCTGGTGAAAATAATTGAATAGACGGTTTCTCACAGACTATCGGTAGTTCAGTTATATTCAAGTTGAATAAATTCTCTGGTCCAACTCCAGTTAGCATACGATGTCGACCGAATTGACGTAGTATAGCATTTGTTTTAAATTGTATTCGGTTTTCTATCTGATCCTGATAGTCAGTCTGTAGGGGGAATTTAAGAAACATTATTGTTATATGTCATTAAGGAGGATTAGAAAGGCTGAAATGCATAAATATGAGTGAACCTGTGGATCGTCTAGTGAATGTGTTCATCTCATAATCAAGTAAGCTTATGTTTTTTGCTTTCTAAAGTCAGCTGTGATTAAGAATGGTACATTTAGGGTGGGTTTCAGTTAGAAACATTGATTTGTCCATAAGTAATCGCGCCAATAGCTGAATTATATTTCCCCCCACCACAGTCCACATGGAATCGAAAGTGAGGTTGACATTGCAACACTTAAAACTACAAAGGAGAAAGAAAGGCTGTGCTAAGCTGTATTCTAGAACACTTGATTGACTCCTGTCACTCTACTTACCCTGACCATTATTTGAAGATCATCTAGCGAAGACAGCGTAGGCGTCGGTCACTCATGGATTTAAGCCAGACATTTGTATACAAAAAGTATGTTCTAGCCCTGTTTCTGTCTTAGTAGGGGAGAAGTAAACGTTTACTCTTTACTCTTACTTTACTTTATATGTACCTTCACAAGGTCACTCGATCTTAGATCAAAGAGCCGAGAAGCGATGAATCGGTGGTGCAGCTGTAGAATGCTCGCCAACCGCACAGGTGGTCACGGATTCGATCCCAGGTTGACGCACTCCTTCACCTCGATAGGCCAGTAATAAGACTGGTAGAGAGGGAAGGTTGGGGATGAGGCTGGCTAGCAACCCCATTTCGTAAAAGTAAACACCACTGCTACCAAAACTTCAAGCCTCTAGTTTGCAGCCCTATGTTCCACTGGGGACGGAAAAGGAATAAAATTTTAAAAAAATTTGTACCTTTCCCTCACCATTACGACTTTTATTTTCATTCCCACTTTGAAATTTCTCCAGCTACTTGTCCCACTTGTTATTCTAAATCCAAAATTATTATTTTTGGCTATGTTGAGTCCTATGGCATCGAATTTCACACCATGTCACGTAAAGTTTTATTTTGGCCAATAAACGGTATAATTATCTACCTTCTTCAAAAGTCTATACATCCTACGAACTAAACGTAAAGCAAGAACAACAGTTTTTGCTGAATATGTTACAGTCATTTATTTCGTTGTCTCCTCATCACCTGCTTACTACCTAAATAAATTGTTATTAAGTTCATGTACAGAAAAGTTTTAACACACTTGCAAATTTTACATGATGTCAGTTGACAGGTGGTTCTGGACTTCGTGAACAGTGCTTAGAAAATTACGCTTATATAGTTTCTGCACAGGGAATTCAAGTTTAAACAAAGTAAATATATGCATACACTGGTGAGGGAGTTACGTAATAAAGACGAGAGATGCGTAAGATGATGAGTGACTAATAAATTAGGTAACAATGTACTGAGTTCATCTCAAATCATAGAAACAAGAGACAAGCAAATTACACTATATTAAGGGGGGTGAGGTTTAATCCAAAGATTACGTAACCAAATGAAAGAGAGAATAAAGACTGGTAACTGCTTCTTTCTGAACACATAGATCGTGTTTCAGGCATTTGATTGAGATTGCTTCTGCAGACTTAGGGGAACTGAGCTCTTTTGCCTGTCGATAATTTTAAAGGATTTGCAATTAATAACGTTCTCTGAGCTGGTAGGTTTAGTTGCGGAGCTTTCGTCGTCCTTCTGGACAACATCTTCAGCGCCATATTTAGCACAAAGTGAAGTGATTAAAATTTCTTCATGAGTGATATAATTGCGTCTCCTGGTAACCATCTTTACATATGTATTGACCATTTTCTATTGACTTGGATTTTAAACTTTCTGGTCACCTGATTTACTTTTTATTGGTTGGTATATGTCGTCTATATTAACGTGTTTGTTAATTGCATTTCGTTTGAGTACCAGGCTACTAGGAATTTCGTGGTACTTTTGATGTTTCCTCTGCCTAAGATTTTGACATTATCCCAATCAAACTGATGTCCATAATTGTCTATATGCATTGATACTAAAGAATACATGTCGTGTCTTTTCATGTTAATATAGACGACATATACCAACCAATAAAAAGTAAATCAGGTGACCAGAAAGTTTAAAATCCAAGTCAATAGAAAATGGTCAATACATATGTAAAGATGGTTACCAGGAGACGCAATTATATCACTCATGAAGAAATTTTAATCACTTCACTTTGTGCTAAATATGGCGCTGAAGATGTTGTCCAGAAGGATGACGAAAGCTCCGCAACTAAACCTACCAGCTCAGAGAACACTATTAATTGCGAATCATCCATCTGAGCTACAAATCTTCTCTATTATTTCAATTTTAAAGGATTTTGCGATTTCCACCTCATAACCCGTATCAAGCAAATGTCTGTTAATGGTACTATTATAATCGTTTGTTCCCTTGAGACATAAGATTAAGCAACTGATGAGAAGCCAACGAAATTAATGATGACACCATATTATTCTGGAAATATTGTTGTTCTTGCTTTATTCAAATTCATAAAGGGAAATAAATGTACGTAGGACATTAATTATTTTGCTACCTGACACCTGATATTTAACTATGATTATAATCACAAATATTTTAATTGCATTTCATAGTACTATTATTATTTCATGTATTCACACCTTTTTTAAAATTTCCTCACGGGATATAATTTCTTAATATAAAATGCCCACATATATACGATGATAATAAATTCGCTGAGAAGAGTCTCTTCGTTGAATATTGTGTTCTCAATGTTACAATGTGAATTATTAAACTATTGAAAAACTAGGTTGTATATTAGATAGTTCGAGGCAATCAGTAGGAAGCCTTGGACCTAGGTTTCGTGCTAGTTGGTACCCGTCAGCAAGGCGTATCTGCAACCTTGAAGGAACTCATGTCCCTTCTGAGATTCGAACCCGCGTCATCCAATGCTGCAGTTAGAGCCACATTGCAAACCTGACAGACAGAATTCAGTCTGCACCAAAGAAAGGACTAGACACGTCACACTAGTTACTAGTGTCCAATCAAACTAGGTTGCATTTTTTCCACTGATTATAATTTTGGATCTTACCTCATAAGATTTCTAACTGCCAGCTTCATTTGTCTTACAGACAACAAGTAGTGGCAGTACAGTTAAATTATGTCAAACATATTAGATGACTAACCTCACCTAGCTGACTGTCCAGTTTTAAGCCTGGTGGAAGAAGGAAGGTTCGGCGTGGAGGCAGAGACTCAACCAAAAAATCAACCCAATCGCTGGAATCGGAAAAATGAAATGTCCCAGAAGGTTGAAACCCTTCACTAAATCATTCCGCCAGTGCATCCACTTCCAATGTAAGCAAAAATAAGTATGATGACATAGAACATTCACCTGTTGGACACAAAATCGAAAAGAGTAACAGATGTGAGCTCAGACTATTATCTAATACAACAAGCGTTCAAGGTGAAGTTGAATACAACACAGAAAGCCGGAGATAGACCACAATTCGAGTTTAACGTCCAGAAACCGAAAATAAAAGGGACGCCCTTACTGGAGCCATCAGATGAAAGTCGAATGTATTACGCAGCATCACCGAGGAGACCTGTGCAGTGAAAACCTGGAACTCCCTAGGAGTATTGAGAAGGAAGAAGAGGAAATACAAGAAATCACTTTATGTGGACACATGAAAGCTAAAAGAGGAGAGGAGGATTGTGAAAGAGAAGATTAATCAGTGTGAAGATGGACAGCAGAAGGAGAAGCTGAGTCCAATCTACAACTGGCTGAATAAAGAAGCCAAGTAAACTTCTGGGAAAGACAAAGGATAATTCTACTGAACATTGGCAACTGAAGCAAAACAGGCAGCAGGTAAAAGGGACCTCAGAACATTATATCAGATGACTAGATCTCTATCTGGGAACAGATCAACGCGGATTAAATCAATGCAAGAAGGTGAAGGGGATCTAATTCCCAGAGAAAAGGAACAAAGGAAACAGTGGACTGACCACTTGAGAGGACTTCCTAACCGACCACGACCAACACAAACAAGACCGCCAGTGGACACCAATCTTCAAACGAAAGCAGAAATCAAGCTACTGAAGGCTAGGAAGGCAATAGGATCTGACGGAATCCGCCCTGAATCACTGGAAACGGGCCCAGGGACCGCAGGGGATACCCTAACGCCACTATTGCCAAAGTATGGGGGAAAGGCTGGCTATCTTCTGAAACTACCAAAGAAGGGCAAAGTATACCTCTTCAAGAAAAGGCGCAGAATCGTGCTTTTGTCCATGCCAAGTAAAATACTAAGTCACGTCTTCCTAGAGAGGATAAAAGATGGACTGGATGCAGAGCTGAGCCCATAGGAACAAGCTGGATTCAGGAAAGGCAAATCATGTACTGATCAAATTGAACTCTACCTATCATCATCGAAGGGAGGGAAGAATGGCTGCCAAAACTCTAACTTGGCTTCATTGACTTCGAAAAGGTGTTCGATAGACAGCGTTGACCGAGAAGTAATAAGGAAACTGTTCCAGCACTATGGTGTGAAGTGTCCAAGTCTTTAACAACCTCATTCAGCAACTGGCTACACGACAATGGCATGTGTTAAGTGCTCCACAACGGAAAACTCAGCGAAGTTATCAAAGTGAATACAGGAGTAGGACAAAGCTGCCTACTATCACGGATGACATTCGTGATGGTGGCGGGCTGGATTATGCGGTAGATCATGGTTAGCGAGAAGATCGTCACATACTGAACCGATAATAAGACTCTAGAAGATTTTTACTTTGCTGATAATTGAAATTGGAGATATACAGGTGAGAAGCAACAGGGTGGAGGAAGAGGTAGCCATCGAAGGCAGGACTTCAAGTGAACATAAATAGGACAGAGATGGTGAAGGTGAATAACCAACTGCAAGTAGCAGCAATCACTAACAGCAGGAGCAATTTGAAGGAATTCACTTCTTCTGCTTATCTAGGAAGCATTCTTTCAACTACGAGCAGAAAGATTGAGCATTTCAAAGCCTCTGTTGTGAAGGCAAAGTAGACCTTCATCATTCCAGAATTAGTTCGAAATCTTCTGCAGTCAGTACAAAGAAGAATACTTGAATTTTCAACACCACTGTTAGGTCGATTCTTCTATATACTTCAAAAACTTGGCGCATCAAGGGAGAGCATTTCCAGCAGGCCACTGCAGACTTTCATCAAGAGCTGTCTACTTCACTCTATACTGAAGATCAGCTGGCCACAAAGGATAAGCTAGTGAGAACTCTATGACGAAGTGACCAAGAATCTATTGCTCAAAAAATATGCAGAATTAAATGGAAGTGTATTGGACACACGCTGAGGAGATTGTTGAACGACAGTGAGCAACAGACCCTCAAGTGGAACCCGAATGCAAAACAACGGCTTGGGCGTCTAAGTGTGATATGATGGAGATCGTCTGAGGGGGAGATGAAAGCATATGAATAGTCTTAAACTGTTTAAAAAAGACCTCAGAGAACAGAATAAAATGCAGGTGTGCTGTTGAAGCCCTGGGTTCAACTTGGAACCCAAGTTAATAATAATAATTGATGACTAGAAAGGGTGAGCAAAAAGGAACCCTTTCAATAAGCCAGCCAATAAACTACTATGTGACTAACATACCGTAGGAAATGGAAATGATTTTGACACACACTGAGAAGACACTCAAGTAACACTACATACCATGTCTTCAAGAGGAACCAGAATTTGAAGCGACATCTAGGATACCCAAAAGAGACATGCAGAAAATCACAAGAGGAGGAAGGCAAAATATTTGGGCAGTAATGCACCCAGCTGAAAGTGATAGCAGAGAACCAAGCGCAGCCAAAGTATGCCAGGCAAGCTCTATGTTTCAAAGAATAAAGACTAATTCAAGCCAGATTCGAGATAACAGTCTTTAAAAGTAGACCCTGAACTTTTAAACGAGTGCCTGAAAGCTTTTAATCATTCATCTACTATGGTAGTTTGTTGCTCAGCATGTTCAGTATTGATTTTCCTTTCAAGAAAATAGTAAATTGCAACAATATAGTGTATGGTATTCCCCCTCCCTCTCTGCCTGGTTCCACCGGAAACAGATTCGATGTCTTTTTCACGACCCATTCCCATGAACCATCAGTTATAAAGTTTACGAATATAATCAGTCCTCATTACCATTCAGTTAGATCACACAAACAAAGGAAAACATAACTTACACGATATGTGGATTTCGCATTTTTAAGGCTGATAAATTCATTTCTTTCGGGATGGTTATGTTTTAAATGCAAATCGGGCCAACGAAGTATCTCCTTATTACAATGCTTATTAACATTGTCTAACTCTATATTCCTTTTATAATTTGTATGATAACCATAAGTTAATCTGTTTGTAGATATCCACTTGTCACCAGTTATGCCATTCTTGTATCTCGTCACGTCAGCGTCGTCATCTCCACAACCATTCGTACGATTTATTGGATTGTATATAGAATCTTCAGATGTCTGATGCATAACACGACTACCATATCTGAGCAGTGGAGAACTTTTCACCCTATTCCGTTTATTCCGTTGTTCTAAGGATGTTTTATCCTCATCAAGTAAACAGAAATAACTTCCACCGTAGATTGGATCTGATCTGGCGGAGGTAAATCTACCAAGACTATGAGAATATGGAGTAATTCCATTAATGGACATCATAGTCATTGCCTTTCTACTACACACAAAATGTTATTCAGAAATAGATGTTCTTTTCAGCAAACTATCTCATTACACCATACCACACAAATTGGTTTTATGCAACCCTTATTAAAATAAGTTTACTACCATTGATCAAATATCGATCTGACTAAGCTGCTCAATCTCTTCACATATCACAGCTGGAGATTATTCATAATTAGGTCAGGTTGTACAAACTGTGATCCAATGAAATACTGAGTAGATTTGTAGCTTAGGTGAATGCTTTCTGTGTGTGGTGTTCTCTGAGATGAATGGTTTTACTGCAAAGCTTAAATTTTCTTTTCAGACGCCATCAATGCCTGATTCGAGATAAAGCGACCTTGTCGGATTTCCTTGTGAATGACATAACTGCTTCTCCTAGTCACTGGTTGTCTTCAGATGTTTTCTACTGATTTTTTCGATAATTTATGTTGCTATTAATCGTCTTGATGACCCGGAATTTGACATTTTGGATACTTTTGCCAGGTCACTTGTTATTTATTTGATCCATGTCAACACTTCCACTGAGTGATGGCTGAACTGAGAATCAGGCTTCTACGAATTCTATGGCATTTCAAAAAATGGCTTCGATCAAACTGGAGTCCACAGTCGTCTACATAAAAGGATACATGTCGCTTCAGATTTTCTTATATCTTCAGATAAGAAGTAAACTTCAAATAGATTGATCACACAATCTTTGTGCATACAATCTGCGCCTAACGCATGCCATAGGAATGACGTCATGCCGATACGAGAGACATGAAAAAACATTACTACCAATAAAACCGAAGGATACGAAACAGTAGAATCCATAACAAGATTATTTACAGTGAACAATTTTTTCAATAAATTCTTCTAAATTATATTAAATGCATAGTCAATAAGAACATGACATGGCAGTAGTAGCTGGAATGCCTGGGCCATTGGGTCGGCTCCAAGTGACAGAATGGCCTGCGATATTGCCTTGTTCCTGGAAGGTCCTGATTTCGAACTCCCGTGGGTGAGTTGCGTTATTCGAGAGTCCCAAACTAGGATAGAATAGCTGTCTAGTAGTTCCAAGTGTGAACAAGTGTGATGAGGGGGAGAAAACGTACAAAAGGAACATGTGACAGTGATATTGGTGAATTAATTATTAAAGTAAAAGCAAAGTGATGATTTAGATTAAAAATAATAATTTACACGCAACGACTATTGAAGACGTTAAGACCATAATATAATAAGAGACTGGACAAACTTCTTCTGTATTCAGAGTTTGGTGTTGTTTTAATGAATTGCCAACGCCTCCGCCATAAACAAAAGCCGAAACCTGACGGGTTTTGTACCATTTGGTATCACTTTGTAGATAATCTTGAAAGACAACTCTGATGGAACTGCGTGACTTGAGGTCACCAAGTGCTCGATAATAGCGCTAGTAACTGTCTTGCGTTATCCTTTTGCTAACCACACCGGATGATGTTCAGAGATGAGTTTGGAAAGTGTGTGTGTGAAAAACAGAGCAAGAACCTTGTGACAATGAAAGAACTTGATACGTTTTTCAAATTCTCTGTCAAGCTTGCTATAGGAAACACAAGAATCAGTTTTCTGAAGAGCTGCATAGATAACAAAGAATATCGCGAGCACCACTGGAAATGTCTTCGTCACAATCATATCCACCCAAATCATCTCTCTTTGAAACTTCACACGCTGAGTGTGATTGATGAAATAAAATCTCGAAAACCAGAGATGGAAAGAAGCCTTTCACTAAGAACACATGCTTTATTCGAACTTTTAGAAGACAAGCAGAGAAATTTTATGGACCACATCTATTCAGTTTCAAGAAGACGTTGTGAAGATATAAACCTGAAAGTTGCAAATAGTCTTAAAGCAGGTGACATTTATTCACGCTTTTCTGCCACACCACAGAAATACGTTTTCAACCACTCCAGTATATCATTAACTCCTATCCAATTACAAGCTTTATCATAGGGTACAAAATACTGTGATATTTCGACAAATTCGAGTGACTAATATGAAAGTCCAGTTTGAAGTATTGATCCATCAGACAAGTGATCTTCTTCCAGTGTCATACAAATTATGTGAACAGTTTAGGCCTACAGTATTAAATAGCTGTCGTCAGTATATCAATACTAAACCAAACGTCAGACGATTGATTTCAGCCAACCGCAGAAAGCAACTACCTGAGATTTTTAGTAATAAAGACTTGTTGCTGCAATCTGAAAATTTTTGACAGGAGACTCGCTCCCGTCAAACGAAAGATGATGCTACAGGAGTGGACTAGATTACAATGACTCCTAGCTTAGAAATAGGGAGTGCAGTGGTAGAGCACGTTGACCGCTTCACTTATTTGGGAAGCTGCATCAGCCAGCGCCAACGGATTGCTCGCTGACAAAATCTCTTTTATTTTTTTCTATTTTGATTACAGCTTAATGCCACACCGTATTTTCAATACAAGTATGGAATTTTCAGCATACGATATCGGTAGCCCGAATTTTGCAGGCCGACAATAGATATCGGTAGTATGCTCCGTCCTCCTTTATGGCTGTGAGACCTGGCCATTGAGAGTAGAGGAAATGAAAAGGCTAGCTGTCTTTGATCATAGGTGCTTGTGTTCTATCTCCCGTGTGAAGTGGTATAAAATGGTGAGCAATATTGAGGTCAGGCATCGGTCGAGTGCTAGGTGAGAAGCGTAAATCAGTCGAAGTTGTGAAGCTAAATTGATTGAGATGGCTAGGATATTTTTTACGCACGACTAGCCTAGCCATGGCTTTTCTCGACGGGCAATGTTAGCTGACATAGGATCAGACTGGAAAAGAGGCAGTGGTGGTCAAACCAAAACATGGCTGCATCAGTCAGTCAAATCCGCAACAGTTAGTTTAAGACATGCAGGAAGGTTTAGGCTTCCTGGTTGGGGTCCTCGGGATGGTTAAAACCAATGAAGGCTGGAGAAAATTAGTGATATGGCAGAAGATCATTCTTAATGGCTAGCGCAGATGCGTGCACTCCTTGTGACTTATAATTTCCAACGAAAATACACTGTTCTTCGTTATTACTATTCTCTTTGTCTCATATCCCTGTTTACTGTCTCTATTTTTCATTTCTTCTTCTTGCTTTGTTTGCTACATGGAGTGTGTCGACTTGAACTGCTGCACATCGGTGCAATGTTCTATGTTGAAACCAGCCAACCAGCCAGCAGCTGATCCATCCCGATAAAGGTGCTAGTATCGTCTTACTGAATCGCCAAGACTATGTCAATAAAATATTAACCAACAGATTATATGAAAACAAGTTTTCAAAAGAAAGTGACCAGAAAGACAAAAATGAGCAAATTGAAGAGAAGATAACACAAATGCTGAAGAAGATGAAGAACGAATCAATTATTAACTGTCAATTATTTGAACAAATACACCCCCGAGTTCTGTAATTCCCAGATTATGTGGTCTCCAGAAAGTGCACAAAGAGAACCCACCATTACGCTTAATCTTGGATATGACAAATTCATCATATCATGCTGTGGTGTGAACATTTTCATAAACGTTTAGCATTTATATTATACACTATTCACATCTTTCATTTTTGTTTAAACCAGATTCTATACTGGAATTATAAAACGAATAAAGCCTTTATTGCGGGCCCTCAGTATTCTCACTTGATCGGTGAATGTTTGATTAACTCATAAACACTACAATTTATTCGTTTTATTATGGACAAGATATTACGTCCCGAACGCTTTGATGCTGATTCCAGTTGCCAAACATCTTCGAAGATTTGGAATCATTGGTTTCGTACATTCAATACTTTTATCACTAAATCTTCAACTCCAGATTCAGACAAACTTGATGTTCTCATCAACTATATCTCACCTACTGTATATGAATACATTGCTGAATGTAAAACATTTGACGGCGCTCTTAGTACTCTTGAGAAACTGTATGTCAAACCAAAGAACGAGATTTTTGCTCGACATCTATTATCCACATGCAAACAAGAAACTGGACAGAGCCTCGACCAAGTTTTACAAAAACTGAAATCTCTGGCAAAAGATTGTTCATTCAAACCTGTCTCGGCTGAACAAAATCAGAATGATGCAATACGTGACGCATTCATAAGTGGAATGCAATCTAATAATATACGACAACGTCTTCTGGAAAACAAATTACTTGGTCTTGATACTGCTTATGAACAAGCTCGATCCCTAGAAATGGCTTATCAACAATCACATTCGTTTCATCCTTCCGAATTCTCCAATTCTGCTGCAATATCAAACAGTGATACATCAAATGAACTAAACTCTTATGTGGGTGAAACAGGATTGACTGCTTCAATAAATGAGAAATGCTACTTCTGTGGATTTACTAGACATCCTCGCTCTAAATGTCCTGCAAGGGATGCAGTATGCAAACTCTGTGGTAAGAAGGGGCATTATCAGAAGGTCTGCCGGTCAAAATCGTAAACCAAAACTACATCAGTTACTAGTTCTTTGTTGTCTTCCATGACTCTAGCCGCCGCTCCACAGTCTCTCTCCAATGCGGTTGTGCAGCTTTTTGTAAATGACATTCCCCTACAAGCCCTCGTAGATACTGGGAGCTCAGACAGTTATATTTCTTGTGCAGTCGTTCAAAAACAACATATAAAGGTAGAGCATTCTCGCACTTCAATCACAATGGCTTCCACAAGTCTGACAACTCATACTCATGGTCACTGTTATGTAAATCTACGTTATAAGGACTCGAGTTACTCACATATCAAACTTTCAGTGTTGCCAAATCTGTGTGCTGATGTGCTATTAGGTCATGATTTTTTACGCTTGCATAATAAACTCGAAATTCCATTTGAAGGTAAAAACAATCCATTTTCACTGTGTAATCTTGTTGCTGCACATATTGATCCACCTCCCTTGTTTCATAACCTAACACCCAAATGTGTTCCGATCGCTACAAAATCACGAAGACATTCCACTTCAGATGAACATTTCATCAAGCTGGAAATCA